TGCAATCACACACCTAAACACACATTAGAAGGTCAGGATTAAAAAGGTTTTTAGTTATATATGATAATAGCTGTGACAAAATCTAGTCTCATGTTTCGACTTTTCTCATTTGCACGCCTACTCAATACGAATACGAGTAGTGTTGTTGGCTGTAATGGCAAATGCAAGATTGCTTGCTTTATTGTCGACATAATTAAATGCTTTCGTAGACATCGCCTCGCATAGGTTTGTTGAAGAAATGGAGAACAAATGATAAAGATGCCTTCTTCTTATGGCAATGTCCGTCAGTAAAAGCTGAGTCGGTGACTGGAGTCTTTTTTCGCTCAACACAACAGCAAACCTGCCTCGGTTGTTGCTGGGACCAATTGACGCATTCCTTCCAATCAACTTGTCCCTCGAGTCGACCCAGCTTCCGACGAGGCCGTGGGAAATGGAGCAGAGAACATTCGCAGGGCAGGGAAGGGTGTCGGGGTTGTGAAAGACTTACATCGGGCTCGGCGCCCATGCGACCAGGTGCCGTGGACCGGTCTCGGCTCCAGCGTGCCCTGGCTCGAGTCGGCCGAGAGCGTGAGTGTGAGTGTGAACGACTCGTCCTCATCCTCGTCCTCGAAGTTGCTTTCTTTTTCCTCCTCCAACTCGACCTCGACCTCGACCTCAACCTCGACGTCGACGTCGACGTCGACGTCGGCGTCGTCGTCAAGGTCAACATCGACCGCGTCCTCGTGATCCGCCCAGGCTCGGCGTTCGAGGAGGTCGGCGAGAAGCGGCCCAAAGGCCGCGGGTCGCCTCGACTGTGCGAAGAGGTCCTGATGACGTGGCTGACGACGACGCCGATGAAGACGACGGCGACGGCGACGGCAACGGCAACGGCTACAACGGCGAGGAGGAAGAGGAGAAGTGGATGAACGAGGCGGAGAAGGAGGAGAAGGTGGTGTCGGCGGTGGTGATGGTGTCGGTGGTGTCGGTGGTGGTGGTGGCAATGTGAGGTTGGTGAACGGCGAGATGCGTTGATGCGGTGGGATGCGTGGCGGTCGCGAGTCGAGCAGCGGTGGAGTGAGTGTTTGTGTGGCCAGGAGGACCGGTACCAATTGCTGCTGGCCGGCGGGCACCGGGACCGGGGCCGGCTGGTCCGAGCGTTCCGTGGGGAGGCTGGAGTCGGGCCCGAGGCGGCAGACCATCTCGACGGGCCGATTGGCCGAGACGTCGGTCAGCAGCTCAAAGGCTGCGGGACTCGAGTCGTCCGAGGTGGGACAGGTTCGACAAGCGGAAGAGGCGAACCAACTGCCGGTCAGTCGGTGCTCGGACAGACTGCGCGACAATCGGCCGACATTCGAGTCCGACCAACGTCGGCCGTCGGTGACTCGCTGCAACGGAGCCGGCTGCGTCACCGTTGCCATCGCGATCGGTACCAACCGCCAGTCGGCATCTTCGTCTGTCGGTTCGCTGGCCGACGGCAACTCGTCGAGCAGCGCCAGCGAGTCGACCTGCAGATCCGTCGACGTGCCCTCCTCCTCGGCCACGTCTGACGTTCCAA